CTCAGACTTAGAGAAAACACTCTGCTTTATCTGACTTCAGACCAGGGGGCTCATCTGGAGGAAGTGTCTGCTGCAGGCGAGGTGCACGGAGGATATAATGGAATATATAAAGGTACGTCACAGAGACGACTAAAGGCATTAAAGCCTATAGGGTCATTTCCACTGCAGACTCAGAACGGATTGAGACATTTATGTACCTTTTTGTTGTGAGGCAGGGCAAGGAGACTTTATTTATATATCTGATTCTCTGTGTGTCTCCTTGAAACCCAGTGGGCCTCAGCAGATGGCCGCTCACACTGAGCCTGGTTCTGCTGGAGGTTTATTCCGGTTAACAGGGAGTTTTTTCCTCTCCACTGTCGCTACAAGCATGCTTAGTGTGAGGGATTGCTGAAGAGTCAATGAGTCGATGCAATCAGCTGGTTTTCCTTAAATAGAAAACTTTGAATCAATCTGACTGTATGATCTGTTTGATCTGGATCTATAAAGTGACCTGAGATGACATGATGTGAATCTATAGAAATAAACTGAATAGAATTGAGAGAGGAGCTTGTGATGCAAAAAAAAAAAATGCTTTTTTAACAAGTTGAAATTCAGAAACACACTCCTTTGAGCCTATTTAGGTTTTTCTTGAAGTCACGATCTTTAAGTTGTAAAACAGAAATGTTATAATAATAGGCCGTTTCATTATCTTACGAATAAAAGTGATAGATTAGCTCTTCAGGCGTTTCCTAAACGAAAATCTCCAGTTTTTCATAATAATGGATGTAAGGCTTAAATAAGCTAGTCAGGAGACTTTCCAAGGCTAACGCTAGCTTATTCAAAGGTAACGCCAGCATATCTAATAGACAGCAGAGTAGGTCAGCTACCTGCAGCCGTGGCCACTGATCTGTATTTATTCATTAGATTGCTGATAGACTGAAAAAAACGAATGGCCTGTCGCCATCTTGGTACTCCCCACTTTCACAGAGTCGCGCCATAAAAATGCCTGTAATGTGATCTAATTACCATAATGGGTGAGTGGCGGTCTAGTGGTTAGGGCTTTGGATCCTGAGGTTCTGAGTTCAACTCCCACAGACTGCCACTCTGGGTCCCTGAGCAAGACCCTTAACCCCACTCTGCTCCCCGAGGGGAGGGGTTAAATGCAGAGAGGGAATTTCGTTGCTCTGTACGGCTGACAGTGGAAGGACAACTGAAAGTTGAATTCTTTACTATAAAAATGAAATCAATTCATGTATATTACATATAAATCATCAATTTAGCACTTTTGGATCATCATTAGACTGTGTGTGTGTGTGTGTGTGTGTGTGTGTGTGTAATATTCATAATATGTGACTGCAGTGTTATTCTGCTCCATTATCACATTGATTTTATTGTGATGAATTTGTATATTATGTTAAATTACATGATTCACAGACTTTCATAATGACTCTGCAGTTTGATGTGGATTTATTTTATTTTAAGTTAAAGTTAATCTACTGAAGCTATAAAGCAGCCAGTCTGTGTCAAAGTGATGAATTTATCTTTATTTTAAAAGTCTTAAGTCTCCCTGAAAATGAGAACATCCTGGTTGTTCGATGCTGCAGATTGTTTACATTCATACCCGTCTAACTAGGGAGTACCAATATGGCGGCTAGTGAATTCACAGCACCATGCGCTACTAACAGCCAATCAGCGATCCAGTGAATAATAGAGATCAGTGAGTCGATCACGCCTAGCATTAGCCTCTCCAAAGCTAACGCAGTCCTCTCCTCCTCCTCAGCCATCGCTGAGCAGCCGGCGCCGCCCATCATTAACCAGCTGGAGCTCTATGGTAGAGCTGAAACCTGCAAAGCCTTCCTACTGGTTTCACTGGAACATAGATGTTTAAAATCCAGATTGGCTTTAGAGTGGTCTTTTCTCTATACAAAATAAACAAACAATAGAACATGAACACGTGATAAGAAATAAATCTATATGATGTTTATCTGCTACATAGAAAAATAGCTGATTTCAAAATAAATTCAAACCTATAAAAATATTTATAATGATTTATGTACACAAGTAAGAGCAGCATGAGCCGCGCTCGGCGTGACGCAGCATGAGCCGCGCTCGGCGTGACGGCGGCGCTCTGAGCTTTGGTGGCGCATGATGATGATGATGATGAAGGAACAGGTTAAAATCCAGCAGGTCACCAGACGGAGCATTTCTCCACCGGGTTCATCGGAGAACCTCTGGGACAGTGGAAAACACGGGAAAACTCATCGAACTGGGAGACGCTGCCGAGCACCCTGCAGGAGACGCAAACAGAAAGGAGGGGTCAAAGGTCGCTTTCTGCTGAAATCCTTTTAGAAGCAGATGTTCACACCTGTAGTGCTCTGGAGCGTGTTTGTCGGTGAGCAGCTGCAGGTAGATGGACTGAGATCTTCTCTTCATGCACCAGTTCTGTGAAGACAGCCAACGTTGGAGGAGTTAATCCAGATTATCACAGATTTTCCAACCTAGAACATCACTTTCAACCTAGATGACAAAAACAACCCCTGAAGTTAAGCCTACAGGAGGGTTCTATGATGACGTAACGCCACATGCTCTACGCCTGGAAGCAGAGAACCAACGGTTTCCCTGATGTCTGCTTACTGGTAACAGGAGAAGGCTGGGCTGAAGCCATTACTCCCATTAAGGGTTCACTCTCTGGGTTATATAACCACTGAAGAAAGACAAAAAACCAAAATAGATGGAGCTCAGCAGGCTCAGTTCCTTCCTTCCTTCCTTCCTTCCTTCCTTCCTTCCTTCCTTCCTTCCTTCCTTGCTTCCTTCCTTCCTTCCTTCCTTCCTTCAATCAAAAAAACGATCTGCTGATCTCCAATGGAGGATTTTACGCGGCGCCACAAACTGGTTTTCATGGTTTAATCTATTAATAATTTTTCTGTTTCATGTTTTTATGGAAAGCACTAAACTAAAAACCATTTTTAGCTTCTTAATAAGAGTTTTTAGTATTTTGGGAGCATTTTTACACTGCAAAAACAATCTAGAAATAAGTCAACATTTCTTTAATTAAGTGTATTTACCATTAATTTGAGCAGGTAGATGGAATGCATATGGAATTAAATTTTAACCTAAAATAAGATAATTAGATAATATACACTTAAAAATAAGACAATGC